CATGCATACATACATACATACATACATACATACATACATACATACATACATAGATATATATATATATATATATATATATATATATATATATATATATATGGTGAATGTGCATCATTACCCCCTGTGCTTTAAAAACATACTTCGCCCCCCTATTGGTTTCAAAATCCTAAATCAATGTCCCCATCAAGTGAAACTTTGTATCTTAACCGCGTGTGATAAACGCACTTGGCATGCGAGTAATTTTTTTTTGTGTTTTTGAACTTGGATGGATAATAACACGTTTTTAGTGCTCCTCATATATTTATCTTGGCATTTCATAGAGAACTAGATCTGGATGAAGAGAATAAAAACGGACAAAAATTGGAAAATTGTGAAAGCTCGGGTGACTACGGTTGACCGTACTTATTTTAATTTCTGTTTAAATAGAATATGGGTTAAAATATATGATATGTGGGTATATTAGTTAAAAACAATTCAATATGTTAAAAATGATATTAAGCAGTCTAGAGGAGGCATTGGTGTAAAATTTCAAAACCAAGAGGGGGAACGAAGTAAGTTTTGAAAGCAGATGGGGTAACGGTGCACATGCTCGTAATGCTGCGTCTCTTCCGAGCCCAGGGCCTTTTATTAACACGTCTGCTTCACGCATACCATGGTTTATTGCTGTACGGATAGCATTTGTTGCTGCGGTTTGCGCAGCAAACGGCGTCCGTCTTGTAGTTCCTTTGAATCCGGCACTACCTGCAGAAGCCCACGAAACTACGCGCCCTCGTACATCTGTAACAGTGACTATAGTATTACCAAAGCAGAGGGGGTAACGGTGAAATAAACTTGAATTTGGTGAGATGACACAATATGAACCAACTAAAAGCAAGGTTGCATTTTTGTGATATTTTCACCTTTTGAAATGTGTGACTCTCATTGCATCATCTCACCGTAACATCATCTAGTGTGTGTGGGTGTGTAATGCTTGTGTGTGTTGAAAAATCAAACAACACACTCGAATCCCGAAAAAGAAGGGACTGGGGAGAGTGCGTGTGCGCAAACCTTACCTTACCCGAAAGTAGAGAGGCAGTTTCCAAAGGACCCCCAGCCCGGCTCAAGCATCACAGGTAATCACACACGTATCTAGATCCTTATGTTTAAAACATAGAGCGGGTGTTTCTGAATGACCCATGATGAATGTCGAAAGTTGCATTGACTAACTGCTACTTCACTATTAAAAGCGCAGAGAATTGCATTGAAAAATCAAACAACGTGATACAATATTGTGTTGCACATGTGAAGAGCAAAAGTGTTTGGCCCTTTTCCTTTTGTACCCTCGTACAGATAGATATTGTTTCTCCTACTTCAGAAAGAGGAAGCAATGATACAACTTCTCTGACGTGGAGTATGTTATATTAGTTAGCTAAGGGTTAGTTACTTAGCTAATAATCAGGGTTGTTAGATGCTACTCTCCTTGTATAAATGTTTGCTAATTGTGAGAAGAAAGGCAAGAAATAATACAATCAAATTCCCCTCTTAACAATCTTCTCTCTCTCTCTCTCTCTCTCTCTCTCTCTCTCTCTCTCCCCCCCACCCCTAACTCTCTATTCTATCCTCTGGTTCGTCTTCTTCCCTGAGACAGAAACCATTCTTCTGTTCATTCTATACAGCAACTTCATCTTACTATAACACAAAACATTGTATTGGGTATTTTTTCTAGATAATGAGAAGGAAGTTCAAGAATTATTTACCATTAATATGGTCATTGTGTTGAGTAATAAAGAAGGCTGGACTCAGTGAACTTCTTACATCCTCTGTGCTTGAGATTAGATGGTGCATGGCTGCATGCCAAACTGCCAAAGATAGTTTTCCCCAAGCACAATGCCACAAACTGATGAACCCCCAAGTGTAATCACTCACCAAATTCTCTGCTAAGTGCATTCTGACAAACAAACAGGACAGATATGGGACACCCTTACAGTGGTTTATGGTTTATTTAGTACTCCTATGTTAATGTACATAGATTGTGTGGCATTCTTTGGTTTTGTTTTCTCTATCCCTATTATGCTTTGTATATCTATTGAATTTTTGTGTACTTCATAACTTGAATTATAAAGTCTACATACAATATTTCTTCATACTGCGGTCATTTATGTGCTTTTATGTTCAGATGGTGGACATCAGACACGATTGCAGTTGTGACTGGTGGAAATAGAGGGATCGGATTTGAGATCGTGCGCCAGCTTGGGACCCATGGGTTGACAGTCATTCTAACTTCACGGGACACAACTTTAGGTTTAGAAGCAGCAAAATTCTTGCGAGATGGGGGCTTGAAAGTGGAGTTCCATCAACTTGATATTGTTGATCCTTCTTCAATAGATGTATTTTGTACCTGGCTAAAAGAACATTATGGTGGTTTAGATATACTGGTATGACTGTTCTCTCCTAGTCTCCTACTCTCTTCTCCCCTACAAAAACAGTAGGACAACCCAAAAAGAAAAAGCGAAAAAAAACACTGGGTATGAGGGAACAGTACTTATTCTTTTGATAATGGGTTGTTATTGTCTTGATTCTTTTGTTAAGTATTTCACCAATGCCTAGCGAACATGCAGATAAACAATGCTGGAGTCAATTTCAACGTCGGCTCAGAAAACTCGGTGGAACATGCTGAAACCGTTATCAAGACAAACTATTATGGCACAAAAAATATTATCAAAGCTGCAATTCCATTAGTGAGGCTTTCAGCTTCTTGTGGCAGTCAAATTGTTAACGTGAGCTCAAGGTTAGGAAGGCTGAATGGGAGGCGAAATGTATGGCAATACCTATTACTGTTCTCTTTGATGTAATTTTTTATACCCAATTTAACCCTTTGACTATTCTTTATTACTCAATTGGATCATTTACTTTTTTTGGACTTGAACTAGTTCTGAGTATATGCAATTTAGACTCAATTTAGTCACTGTCCACAATTTTTTCTAATTAATAAGGGTATTTTCGTATACCAATGACTAAGTTAGGTCCAAATTGCATGTTTTAGGTCCAAATTTAGTCCTAATTTGGTTATCAAACAATTGAAGTACCCTTCTCATTTAGAACTATATATGCATAGGATTAAATGCTGTCCAAATTTCATAGTCAAAACCAAATTCAGTATTAAAAAAAAGGTTAAAGGTCAACTTGAGTGGTACTCCTAAACCCGAGGGACTAAATCGGGTATTAATCTATTTTATAATCCTCAATGAAGCTAACTTTTGTTCAAACTTTGGATGGAATTTTCAACTATTCTGCTGCTTCCAAGACTTTGCGAACACTCTTTTAGAGTTTCAAAAACACTCTGATATTTGTTCTATTTTTCCGGTAGAGAATTGGAAATGTGGAATTGAGAAGCAAACTGGAGAACCTAGAAACTCTCTCAGAGGAATTGATTGATCATACTCTGAACACATTTTTGGAGCAAGTAAAGGACGGGACATGGGAATTGCGTGGATGGCCTCAGGTTTTCACCGACTACTCAATGTCAAAACTTGGAGTGAATGCTCTCACGAGGCTAATGGCGCGGGAGCTCGAACATTCTTCCAGTGGTCAACAGAAGATATGTATGAATTGCTGCTGTCCGGGATGGGTGAAGACAGGCATGACTGGCTGGGAGGGGAACATTCTTCCGGAAGAAGCAGCCGATACTGCAGTGTGGTTGGCCCTGCATCCCAACCTCTCCTCTGTGAGTGGCAAGTTTTTTGCAGAGAGAAGAGAGATAGGTTTCTAAGGCGAATTGGAGTAGTACTCGAAGTTATTACTTATTAGCAGAGTCACGGTTCCCTTGCCACTGCATTACGGTGCCACTGGAATTTTAGGGCACGTACAGTGCTCCGTTCGTAAAATCAATGATTCACAGTAAACTCCCTAGCCCAAACTCACCCCAACCCCTCAAAGTTTAGTTGGCTTTGGGGTCAAATTTGACTCCAAAGTCAACTAAACATGGGGGGTCCAATTTACGTGGAGTGCAGGTTTATGTCGGGCCCGGGTGGGGGATTTTACCAAAAAATTTGAGGGTAAGAAGCATCATTTTTACGAATGGAGCACCGAAGTGTTTAGTGGCACGAGAACCTCTCCCTTTTTATTACTATTATTAGTACTCCGTATAACAGTATGTAAAGGGGAAAAACATATTGCCATTTCTCCATTTACTAGAATCATAATCAACAAAGAATGCTGGTGATACAACAACAAAACGAGGATTATCCCGACTTTGCTGAGATTTGGAGGTCTAGAATCTTTTTACTTTGTAAAACGAGAGTGGTTGTTTCCACTAAACCCTTGATGCATATAACGTTGTTTAAAACTTGATAAAAAGTAAACCTAGCAAAAATTGATTCTATTTTTTTTACTCAAGATTGAGTTTTGAACAAAGATTTTGTTAATCATCCAAATCCAACATGACTGAGTGATTTGCTACCTTTAATAAAAATTAAGCAAATTTTGGTCAAATAACCCGAAACTAAAATATTATTATGAGATGGAGTGATCGAGTAATACTATATAGACTACCAAGAATGTGTCCATCTCAACTGTTTGTTTTTAATCCATTAACTAGAAGCACAAATGAAGCATCATTCATCACTGTAGTAGAATACGATTGAGGGATGATATAGAAGCATCATTAGTCTAGAAGCATCATTATATTAACACCACTGCACTAGCATCATTAGAGGTGACAATCGGGTCAACTGGAACGGTTATGGATTGGTTTTTTCGATTCGGATTCGGTTCACTTTGAATTGATTTAATTTTGGTTTGGATTTGATTCGGTTTTGAGTTGGTTTAGATACAGTTCGGATATAAATCGGTTAGAATAGATTCCGGTTCCGATAGAATTTGGATCAAATATATATTTCAGTTTTGGACCTAGTTCCGTTAGGATATATTTCAGTTTCAGATATGTTTCAATTCGGATATATTTCGATTGAATATATTTTGGAAATATTTTATTTTTAATTAAAATTTAATAACCCATGTTTCATTTTTTGTTTTATCACATTTATCAATCTATCATCAATTCAACACCTCATATTATTTTATATTTTTTCTAATTATACTATCTCCACCGTAAATAACCTTTCTTTTTTTGATTTTTAGTCATATTTTACAAATTTGGACTACAAATTATGAAAAATATATATTTAATTATGATATAAAATTAATTGAAGAATAATGATTTTCATTGATTGAATAAGTTGTGATTATATGTATATATATAAGAGGAGTCTCAATCCTAAACAAGGTAGGAGAGACACAAGGAAGGAAACCTATACAAATAAGATAAGGGAATAATACAATATATTAAATATATACAATATATTTAACATGCTCCCGGCTACGTCGGATGTGGAGGAGGTCTGATTCCCAAGCTTTGTCTGAAGTCCAAAAATAATAAAGATGGCAGTCCCTTAGTGAAGATATCAGCATACTGCGAAGACGAGGGGACGTGGAGAACTCGCACATGACCCAGTGCTACTTTGTCACGGACGAAGTGGATATCAACTTCCACGTGTTTGGTGCGCTGGTGCTGTACAGGATTTGTCGAGAGATACACAGCACTAACGTTGTCGCAAAAGACAAGGGTGGCACGCTGAAGGGGTTGCTGCAGCTCAAGTAGTAGATTCCGGATCCAGCTCGTCTCTGGAACGGCGTTGGCCGCAGCGCGATACTCAGCTTCTGCACTGGAACGGGAGGTGGTAGCTTGATGCTTGGAGGACAAGGAGAATAGGTTGTCACCGAGAAAGACACAGTATCCAGAGGTGGAACGGCGGGTGTCTGTGCATCCGGACCAATCTGCGTCGGAGTATGCCTGCAGAGAGTCGGTGGAGGAGCACGCCAGGTGGATGCCATGGGTGGGGGTGCCACTGAGATAGCGCAGGACACACTTCATGGCTGTGAGATGAGCATCACGGGGGGCATGAAGGTGTAGACAAAGCTGCTGGATGACATATGTGATGTCAGGACAAGTAAATGTAAGGTACTGTAATGCTCCAACGAGGGATCGATAAAGAGTAGGATGAGGGAGTAGTGTGCCTGACGAGGAGGAGAGCTTTGTCTTTGTGTCCACTGGGGTGGAGATGGGGCGGCAAGAGACCATCCCGGCCCGCTCGAGGCCACTGGTCGTCCTGTGTACATTGATGCCGAGGAAAAAGTGTAGGTCTCCCTTGTGTGTCATAGCAAATTCGGCCTTTAGCCGCTGGATGAGATGCTGGAGAAGTGCAGTGGAAGATGATGTAAGAACAATATCATCAACGTACAGTAGTAGGTAGGAAGTGCCCATGGCGTGGGAGAAAACAAATAGTGATGTATTCGACTTGCACCCGCGAAACCCAATAGTCTGAATAAAACTGGCAAATCTGTGATACCACGACCGCGGTGCCTGCTTAAGCCCATAGAGAGCCTTCTTGAGTCGACAAACATAATGAGGTCGAGCGGGATCCTGAAACCCGAAAGGGTGATGACTGGCGTAAACTGTCTCCTGTAGCTGGCCATGGAGGAAGACATTTTTGACATCTAGCTAGTGAATGGGCCATCATCTGGATAGAGCAATGCTAAGAATGATACGGAGTGTAGCAGGTTTGACAACGGGGCTGAAGGTCTCGTCGTAGTCGACGCCAAAGCGCTGATTGAAACCGCGGACCACCCAACGAGCCTTGTACCTGGATAACTCACCTGATGGGCCAAGTTTGTGTCTAAAGAGCCATTTTCCAGAGATTATGTTT